TAATTTGTATGTAGCGGGAAGCAGACCCGAGTAACTTACTTTGAATAGTTTTCAGCCAATCTTTACTTGATTTTGATTAGTAGTTGATAGCTTAATTCAAGCCTCGATTTGCTAGATAAAAATTTAGATCATTGAGTAATACTAGATTTGTCGCCCTAGTTTATAATTAAAACTTACTTCCGCTATACTACCCCCGATCGTTGGGTGTACTTGGCCTTTGGTTGGGATAGTAGGGTGTTAGGGTTGAGTCACCTATTGGTAATAACCACCATGTATATTCAATATTATTATTATAACAAAAAATAAAATAAAATAAAACTAACTAAATATGTACATTTCCAGTTATAACATCAAATAGAGCTAATAAACCATTAAGTCAAAAAAATATATAACCGTTTTGATTCAAATTCAATTTTGGTATCCAATCAAAATTATATAACCGTTTTGATTCTCTAAGACAATGACTATTGTTGGTATCCAATCATTAAATTTTGATATGCATAGAGATACTAGTTGCGAGGAGGGGTTATTGGTATGGGATGGGGAACTTAAAACCATATGCACCCATCTTCTTCAAATTTTTGTTGGTTTTACACATACCCACCTCATACCTAGTACATGCAGGAATTTCACGAGTTGACTGGGTCGTGGGTGGCCAAGTACATATCCATGGTCATGAGTTTAATTGTCATTCCTATTTTTGGACAAATAGTTTTTTGGTCACACATAAATTATATTATTTTTATCTCATTCTACCACGGTTTTACACAATTTTAATGTGCTTTTAACCATTTTGACTTGGTTTTGTTTGATATATGCTCAAAAGTGGGATGAGTAGCCTCTAGAAATGTTTTTACAAATTTGATACTTTTCAGTAGCTTTTGGATATTGTCAGGCCAAGGTATCATAGAGGAATAGGATCATCTAATCTCTCACCTTCTCACAAACATTTTGCATTGAGTATCTCAACTCTCAAAGAACCAGGCACATACCAGGAAGCCCTCTTGTCAGATGAGTGGAATGCTGCCACGAAAACACAAACTCAAGACCTGGAAGCTAATCAAACCTGGGACATTGTTGAAAAGCCTGCAAACGCAAGAGTAATTGGAAACAAATGGATATATAAGTTCAAGTTTAACCCAGATGGAAGTCTTGAAAGGCACATGGCCAGACTGGTGGCTAAGGGCTATAACCAGCATGAGGGTGTGGACTACCAAGATACATTTGCCCCAGTGGTCAAAATGACCACCATCAGACTGTTCCTTGCCATTGCTGCCTCTCAAAGATGGTTTGTGCACCATCTTGATGTCAATAATGCCTTCCTTCATGGCTATTTGGATCAAGGCGTTTACATGAAGCTTCCTCCTGATTACTCACCCCCTCATGGTTTGAAACCCCTTGTCTGCAAGCTCAAGAAATCTCTCTATGGCCTCAAGCAAGCCTCACGACAATGGTTTTCTAAGTTGGCTGATAAACTGCACATTCAGGGTTACCAGTCGAGCAAAGTTGACAATTCTCTCTTCTACAAATCCAATGGCAGCTCATACACCAGCATACTCGTTTATGTCGATGATTTGGTTGTCGGCGGCAATGATGTCTATGAGATCACAAATCTCAAATCATACCTGCATCAGGAATTCAACATCAAGATCTTGGAAACTTAAAATTCTTCTTGGGGATAGAAGTTGCTCGCAGCAAGTCAGGGATCCACATTTCTCAACGCAAATATACACTGGAAATTCTGGACGATGCTGACCTTCTTCATTCCAAACCACCCTCCACACCAATTGATTACAAGGTTCATCTCACTGCTACCCGCTCTGACCCTTTTCCTCAACCAGGATTCTACAGACGACTGGTTGACAAATTAATCTACCTCACCACTATCCGCCCAGATATCAACTACGCAACACAAAAAGTAAGCCAATACATGATCAACCCCAATAATGATCACTTCAAGGCTATTATTCGCATCCTCGGATACCTCAAGACGCCCCTTCCAATGGCATTTACTTCTCTTCATCTTCATCCCTTCACATTAAAGCCTTCAGTGATTCTGACTAGGCTGCATATGTGGACACCCGTCGATCTGTCACTGGTTCCTGCATTTACCTGGGTGAATCCCTGATTTCATGGAAAAGCAAGAAACAGACAACCATTTCCAGATCTTCCTGCAAATCAGAGTATCGAGCACTTGCCTACACGACATGCGAGATTCAATGGCTCCTCTATCTTCTCATGGAATTCTGCATTCACCACCCTCAACCAACCATATTGCGACAACCAATCGGCGATCTACATCGCCGAAAATCCAACATTTCACGAACGAACGAAGCACATTGAACTCGATTGTGACTTCGTTCGTGAAAAACTTATTGCAGGGACGATCAAGATCCTCCATGTCTCATCGCTTCACCAGTTTGCAAACATCCTCACCAAATCGTTACCGCCGACGACCTTCAATTCCCTTTTCTCCAAGCTCGGCGTCCACAATTTGTTCCCTCCAGCTTGCGGGGGGTATCAGGGAAGAACACTTGTTCTTCGCGAGTTTCAATTCAAGATCAAAAGACAGAGTCGACCATTGCCCCCAACGACGTCGTTTCCCACAAACAAACATAGAAGCTGGAGTGATGTCGTTTCTGACAAAGTTCCATTTAATCCCTAATGTTTTTATTTTAGTTTCTTTCCGTTTTGTCTATGTACTTGCTTAAGACACAAGTATTGTCTTCTTCCCCAATCTGTCTGTATGTTGAACAAACCAGCTATATAAGCTGAAAATCAATGAAGCAAACTAAGCTGTTTTCTCTCCAACCCTAAAAGGTTGACAAGCCATAGAGCAACAGCTATTGGGAAACCGGTAGGGGTGGTCAAATGGTTACCATGGTCATAACCAAACCAAATAAGTCTAAAATCTATTAAACATGGAATACAATATCATAACCAAACCGTCCAAAATAATATAACAACCAAATTAACCAAACTAAAATTTATTCGGTTTGGTTAATTGGTTAACCAAAATAACCAATATAACACCACATTATCATTAAGTGAGAAAAATTTTCAGTTAGTGCATCAATTTGCAATTTATATAATGAACAACACATAACAATCCACATAATTGTAGTTAACCCTTGACGTAAATACATGTAACAAATACAATTATCTTACATTTGACTCATGAGTGGTTATGCAAAGTATTAAGTATGTGTATATAATATATATTAGATATATGACAAATTACTTAACTGGTTAATTTGGTTTGATTGGCTAGGAGTGCCTGAAACCAAACCAAACAAGCTAAATTTTTTAATCAAACCAAACCAATTATAGAAATTAACCAAACCAAATTAGCCAAATACTACTGGTTAAAATGGTTACCACGGTAACCACACCGTTTGAACACCCCTAGAAACCGGAGATACAGTCAGTCGAGTAATGGGAGTGAGTAGGGGTGTTCAAATGGTTACCATGGTTATTACCAAACCAAATAAGGCTAAAAATTTCATTAACCAGGAAATACAATATCATAAAAAAATGTTTACCATGGTTATTCTCATAAAAAAATATAATGAATAAAACATAACAATCAACACATAGTTATAGTTGACCCTTAACATAAATACATGCAACTAAGACAATTATCTTACGGTTAGTATAGAAGTATTCACCTAACAAAAATTTATCACAATGGTATGGGTTAGTGAATTGTTGTGTTTGTTTGAATTGACTTAGTCTTTTAGCAATTTTGATAGGCTGAAAAGGACCTTGCTTTCAAGTTTTCATACAACATAATGTATGAGATTTATCTAAATTAGACGTTCATATGTTGTGGTCTACACTCTACATATACAAATATACATTATAGGAACAATATCAAATTTTATATTTTATAAGTCTAAAAGGATGAACGTTTAACTCTTGATTGGTTATTCAAAGTATTAAGTATGTGTATATATTAGATATATGGCTAATTATTTATCTGATTAATTTGGTATGGCTGGTTAGGAGTGCCTGAAACCAAACCAAACTACCTAAACCAAACAAGCTAAAAACTTTAACCGAAGCAAATCAATTATCCAAATTAACCAAACCAAATTATTCAAATAGTACTAATTAAAACGGTTACCATGGTAACCACACCGTTTGAACACCCCTAGGAGTGAGGATCCCACGTAGTGATGGCAATTTCAACCCGCCCCGCGGGTATTACCCGACCTGACCCGCGATGGGGCGGGTATTACCCGACCCGCAATAGCATGTGGCGGGGCATGGGTATCTACTTCCGACCCGTCCTGCCCCGCCCCGTTCTAGACTCATTTTATCTCAATTTCTTACAATATCTATACATATGTCTCCTATTTTGACTTTTCTTCAACTAGTTAGAGTCGATCTTTCAACTTGTTAGGCTCAACTATCCATTCTATTATCAATATTTTTCATTCTTAAGGTATTTTCCCTACGTTTTATTGTAAAAAGTAAAATTTACTTGTATTTTTTTTGAACAACATATAAGAGTTGGTCGACCCGCCCCGCCCCGCACCGTATCCGCGCGGGTTTTACCCACCCCGACCGTAATAGCATGGGACGAGGCATGAGAATTGAGGTACCCGGCCCGCCCATTGCCGTCACTTATCCCACGGATCCGTTGCAAGCTCTCCTCCTCGTAAAATAGGTGAAATTATCTATTATTTATTTATTTCCCCCTTTCGCAACAGAATCACAAATTTGGCGCGGTTTTCCTTCCCCCAAAATCTCTCACCTCCCGGCTTTTGTCACTCTGTCTACTGACCCTCCTCTCGTTCTGCTTCCTGACCGGGAACAAAAAGTAAAAGAAAAAGAAAAATAGAATAGGCAAGCAAAGACAAAAACAGAGTTCATGGTTCACTACCTTTCCCGAGCTCCTTTTATTTTTTCCATAATAATTCCCAACCTCTACTCTCTCCTCTCCGTCTAGTTGGCCTTTCGGTCCCTCAATCCCAACTGAATCAGAGTCAAGAAAAGAGGAAAGGAAAATATACCCATTTCCTTTTCTGTCACTACAATTCCATGAATCTTCTCTGGTTCACGACTTGCCCATAAGTTTGGGGAGAAAAAGACTTGTTCCTTTCTTTGTGGGTTTTGGGTGATTGATTCTATTGATGGTACTTACTTAGCTGCTCTGTTTACCTTGAAGCGAGTATGGTGGCATTCGGGAAGAAGCTGAAACAAGCTCAAGTTCAGGAATGGCAGGGGTATTGCTTGTTGGCTTTCTCAATTCTTATTTTCCCAACAAATTCAGCTGCATGCACGGCTAGCTCTCTAGTCGTCTCCGTTTGTTTCCCAAAAATGGAAAGGAAATAAAAAACACAAACTTGTTTCTTTCTTTTTCAAATTCTCAGGTATTACATAAACTACAAGCTGCTGAAGAAGCGAGTGAAGAGATACAGCCAAGCCCAACAATCTGGAACCCAGGACACTCAACCTCAATCCGTTGTTCTCAAGGACTTCTCCAGATTGCTCGACTCCCAGGTGGGTTTTCTTCCACATCCAACTCACTTTTTAATTCCGCGATTTGCCAATCCTTTTTCTTTTCCTGACAAATGGGTTGTTTTGGGTTAGATTGAGAAAATTGTACTCTTCATTCTCGAACAACAAGGTGAATTGGCAGCCAAGCTAGCCAGTCTTGGAGACCATCAACACCACTGCCTCACACAACAACAGCAGCAGCAACTCTCTTGATCATCAAATTGGCTAGACGTCTCTGAGCTCAAGGAATCCTACAGAGCAGTCGGAGACAGTGGCGTAGCCAGGATTTCATTCAAGGTGGGTCCGACGTGAAAATAAAAATATATATGATAAATATAATTAATATTTACATGACCCACGATGTGTTTTTATAGTTTGTCGACCGATTTTCGTTTGAGGATGGAGAAATTTACCCTAAATTGTAAATTAAAAAACTAAGAATAAACCATTAGAGATGTAGTTTTATGTAAAAATCTAGAGTTAATTACATAATATGTAAGGTTAATATGTGCTATAAAGTTCTCTACAATATGTTAGTAGAAAAGTAGTGAACATGAGGGGTTTGATTTTAACATTAGGGGTTTCGTACAAATACTGTTATTTTGTGTCTTAGGGGTCGTTTTAAAGTTGCGATTGTTTACGTGAGATTGTTACTTGTATTGTGAGATTGGATTTCGTATAAATACATATATTTAACAATCGCAACTTCCAAACAAGCAACTTCCAAGCTAGCTCCGCCACTGGTCGGAGAGGAGCTCTTGAGGCTCCTCTGTTTCGTTGAGATGAACGCTATTGGTTTGCGCAAGATCCTCAAGAAATTCGACAAACGATTCGGGTCCAGCTTCACTGATTACTACGTCAAGACTCGCTCCAACCATCCTTATTCCCAGCTTCAATCAGTTTTCAAACAAGCGGTATGTATGTATGTATGTATGTATGTATGTATGAGAGCCCATTTTAGTCGCAGCTCTTCTCGTATGTTCGATTATATTTTTCTGGTGATGTAAAATAGAAAGAACTCAACATTATCTTCAAGACCACGAAGAGAGCTACACATCGATATACGATCAGCCAGCGCTGTCACATCCGGTTTTTCTCTCTTAGTTTCGCCCATCTATTCTTTGAGTCTTGTTGTTCGATTTACCTGTCTGTCATATAGTTTGTTTCCTAACAACTTACCGGTTTCGGGGTCTACTGTTTGTTTTTGGCTAGGACCCAGTTATTGATTTCATCAAAGCAGCTGTGAGCAGGTTATCAAACTCCACAAGCTTTCTGGAGTTCTTAGGGAAGCATGCATTCATTGTACAGGACCAGGACGACCTGGGAGCGGCTCCAAGTGATGTAAATGGAGACCTATTTGTTGAGGAAAGATATCACTTCATGTCGCTTCTACTCAACTTGGTCAACACATTTCTGTACATGGTCAACACATACATCATTGTCCCAACGGCGGATGGATACTCCCTCACCTTGGGAGCTGCAGCAACTGTTTGTGGTGTGATCATTGGTTCAATGGCGATCGCACAGATATTCTCGTCAGTCTACTTCAGTGCATGGTCGAATCGATCATATTTCAGACCGCTTTTATTCAGTAGCATTGTGCTTCTTGTTGGGAACACCTTGTATGCACTGGCTTATGATCTCAATTCCTTATCTGTCCTTCTGCTTGGTCGACTGTTTTGCGGGTGAGTTTGATTAATCCGTACACTAGCTCTACTAGTACTCCATCTATAATACCCAGTTAATTATCGGTGGACATTTTTCCAGGTTAGGTTCAGCAAGAGCGGTTAACAGGCGCTACATCAGCGATTGTGTGCCTCTCAAGTTCAGGATGCAAGCTTCAGCAGGTTTTGTGAGTGCCAGTGCTCTTGGAATGGCTTGTGGCCCAGCTATGGCTTGTTTATTTCAGACTAATTTCAAATTCTGTAATCTTCTAACTTTCAACGAAGCAACTTTGCCTGGCTGGGTCATGGCCTTTTTATGGCTTCTCTACCTGTCATGGCTCTGGTTTTCATTTAGAGAGCCTCCTCCGTACACCAAATTGCTTGTGGTTCCGAAATTAAATGCTGGTAAGCACCTGCCTAACAGATATAGTCCATTGTTTTCTTCTTTTGCACCATAAGGTATAGAGTTTTAAGGTTTAGGGTATCAGTGAGTACGATGATAGGACCATTGGTGAATGATGCTATAGAGCATGGTTCGACGAAGCCATTACTGTTGGCATCAGAAGCCAATTACGAGGATGAAGAAGGAGATCGTGAAGAGGTGGAGGATGATGGTGAAGAAGATTCAGAAGGGAGTAGGAGTGTTGAACCTGTCACCTCAATTGCATCAGCATATCAATTGCTTACCCCATCTGTGAAGGTTCTTTTTTCTCCTTATCTTTCCCCTCATTTGTTTGGCTAAATAAATGGTTGCTTTACTTGCTCCGTATCAGTCATGATACCCATGCTTCTTCATCCAACCAGGTCCAACTGTTTATTTACTTCATGCTGAAATATGCAATGGAGATTTTGCTAGCAGAATCAAGCCTGGTCACTGGATACTACTTCATTTGGTCCACTCGAAACGTCGCTATATTCCTAGCTTGTCTTGGACTAACAGTCATACCTGTAAATGTTGTTGTTGGGAACTACATAAGCAACATCTTTGAAGAGAGGTCTACTCTAGAAAAACTTTTTATCATCTTCAAATTCCATTACTTCATCCCAAGTTCATATCCATCAAGCTGTAATCCTTTGATTTTGGGGACTGCATGCATGCAGGCAAGTCCTACTGGCATCTGAGATCATGGTCTGCATAGGCATACTCTTGAGCTTCAACATCCTCGTCCCTTACTCCGCTTCTCAGTACGTTGGTTCAGCACTCATCACATTTGTATTTGCAGAAGTCCTAGAAGGTGACCACTTGCTTGGTCCTTTTGTTTTTTCCATTGACAATGTTCTTTCTACTGTAAATATGTAATAATGACTCTTTTGTTCCTGCTGCAGGTGTTAACTTGTCGCTCTTGTCAAGGGTAATGTCGTCGAGGCTTTCAAAAGGGACCTTCAACAGTGGATTGCTTTCGACGGAAGCAGGAACCATTGCCCGTGTGATTGCAGATGGAACCATAACATTGTCTGGTTACCTAGGGGAGCAGATGCTACTCAACATTACCCTTGTTCCTTCGTTGTGCATTTGTGTTTCTGCCATTGTTGCCACCTGCTTCACTTACAATTCTCTCTACTAACTTCCTTATAGGCTGTAGCTTTGCTCCCTCTGTAACGGTGATGTGGTTTCTAGTATGAGTTGAATAAGGAAAGGCCAACCCAAGTTAGAGGTCGGTCTATTGTGTACAACCAATAGTACATCGTATATACAGACTGAGGCGGGCTTGGCCTATGAAAATTGGGTGATAAAGCCACAAGGGAAAGGAAACGAAAACAAAAAACAAAACTCAACTAAGTGAAGGCAGCAGATGAAATAACCAAAACTTGAGATGACTTAAACTCCTTGGTTTCTTTTTTTGTTTTTATTGCAAACTAGAATCAATATCCGAAACTTAGGTTGCAATATTTGGAAGTTTTGAAAGAATATGTATTTCGTGCTCCATAGTTAATCAACATAGGAATATAGTACCACATGAGAGGCTAGAGCTGTAGAAATTTAATGTCACCCGAAAGTGTGTACCGTAATTTTAATTGGCTCGTAATAAGTGCTTAAAAGATATTGCAATATGGGGTGAGATAGCATGACTACCCTAAAGGGGTTGGAAAAATGACATTCCCTATTAATTATAGACTTTTAAGGTAATTGATTTGTGTTGCATTTAATAATCTGTCTGAATTGAAAATTCATATTAATTACTTTCCTTTTTTCAGTGCAATGGTAGTTCTACTAGTGCAATGATATCAGTGTACAGGTGCAATGATTGTTAAAAAAATGAATGTAATTAATATGAGTTCAGTGGACATGTGCAATGATAGTTTTATCAGTGCAATGGTAGTTCGAAAAAATGAATGTAACTAATATGAGTTTTTAATTCCCAAAGATTATTAAATGCAACACGAATTAAATACCAAAATTAACTATAATGAATAGGGGGTGTCATTTTTCCAACCCCATAAAGGGGTTAGCAAGCTAACCTATCCCATGCAATATTGATTAACAAACTTTATATTAATCCAATGAATAGCCAAATAGTGAGCATACTCTAAAAGTTTTCTACTAAATCCAACTTGTTGACAGAGTTCTACTTAGGAAATACAAACTCAAGGTTGTGTCTAAGAATTTCCTTCCGAATCCAACTTATTGACATAGTTATACTCAGGAGATACAAACTCAGGGCTATGTCGTAGACTCTCCTACCGAAATCGTACAAACCTCTAATACAGTCACCTGCATATCTCTTTTGTTTCTAATTTCAGCATGTCCTCGTTATTTTTGTCCCCAATTGGCAGCAACACAAACTTCCCACTTTACATCTCTAAGTTCAACCGTGGATTTCTTCACCTATTCTTTATTTGGTTTGTCCTTCCATCTGCAATCTCCACCTTCCCGCTAACCTCCTTAGCTTGCATAATCTCATCAATCTCCACTTTCATGCTAACCTCCTTGGCTTCACATATAATTGCTTTAACCCGAGTATGGAAAAATAGAACCCCATTGATTCAGCAATAGAAGGAAAATAGTTGCTTGAGCTAATAACTCTGATGAATAAGAGGTATGTAATCCAAGTCCATACTAAGAATGATCTAGGAGTGGTAATGGTAAAGTTACTTATACATATTGCCATCTCAATTAAACAAATATGTAAAAATTACTTTTGTAATCAGCTTATTGGAGCTTTGCTCTTTCTTCAAATAAAATGGAATTGTAAGGAACAAGAATTTTACCTTCTGATTGTCGTCATAAATTGCATCATGCCGCTGGGATTTCTGTCTGTCCGAAAGCAACAAAATCCTTAGGTACTTTCTCTCCATCTTTCATCTCTCAAACATGTTAAAAGTTGAGTATAAGGTTAGTGGCCAATCGAATTACCTACAAAAGCAGAGAAGTAGAACAATTAGTCAGCAGGTATACTGACCTTTGACTGCTAGGATGAGCACCAAACAATTGAGATAAGTCACGACCATGAAGGGGATTTGATGAACCTCCATTTGAAAACAGTGACCTTGCATAGTAGTATGGGGTCCAAACCCAGACTCTGCCTTTTCTGTTAGTTCTCTTTATAGGTGCTTAGTGGAAAGGAGGATGCAGGGAGTAAGTAATTTCCCGGTTGTTGCGATCTAGAAAGGGGTGGTCCCTCTAAAAGTTTGCAGCTTTCTGTGGCTTGTTTTTTATAGAAGGATCCTTACGTTGGACAACCTCAAAAAGCGGGGCTGGCAGCTTGCTAACAGGTGTGAGTTGTGTGGGTGCGAAGAAGAAACTGTTGATCATATGGTTACTGGGTGTGCTTTTACTGCGGAGGTTTGGGGAAGACTCTTATCTGTCATCAGTATTGGCGATGTTCGGCCGAGGGATATAGTGGAAACCATCAGAAGGTGGCCGACCTCGCAACCCTCTAATGTTGCAGGTTGGTTTCACTTCTGTCTTCTTCATGTTGTGGCTTGGAACGTGTGGAAGGAAAGGAGCCGGCGTGTTTTACGGCAGGAGCATCGTCCAACTAAGAATGTGGCGTGCATTAGTGCCAGGAATGTTGTTGATTGGGCTATGGCGTTTGGAGTGGTGGGAAAGAGCGATGGGCTCCGATGGCTACGGATTTGCCTGCAGAGGATTTTTCTCTGATGGGTGGGAGTTGTCGCTTTTCTTTGGATTTACGTTTGGCTGACAAGTTTTTATTTCAACCTAGGGTGTTGTGAGTTGGGGTTTCTCTTTGCCCTTTTCTGTTTGCTTTCTTTCTCCGTTGCAGGGTTGGCCGGGTCCAGCTAGCAGGTGTGGTTAATTAGTTTTCTTGCTTTCCCTTTGGGGTTTTCCTTTTGTTGGTTTTTTCTGGCAGGTTCACTGTTTGTGAACCGGTCTTCGATCTTTTGTACTTGAGTTTGGATGCTCTGTCTTTGGTTTCTTTTATTTATGAAAATAATCACCATTATAAAAAAAACAGTGACTCGTGCTTTTTAAGCGAAGAAAAAACAAAACTATATTTCTTACATTCAAACTTTAGCATGAAAGCTTTAATCGGCCAAAAAATCCAATTTATTTGAGAATACTAATTGCAAATAGGAAATTTTCATTCTCGAAACCACCACTGAAAGTACTCAACCTAGCATTGAAACCCTGTTTTCACAATCTCATACAAACAAAACAAAGATAATGACCCAACAACCATACAAAATTTGTATGTTGCAGGTGAACGATTGATCCTTTCAAGATTAATAAGGGTTAAAAACAAACAAAAAAAATTAAGAACGAAGAGGCTAGATTGACAACGCCTCAAAAGAGGAACATCATCAACTAATTGTGAAATCAAACCAGCTCATAGATAATGACCAAAACAAACCAAAAGTTAACCATTAAATAAAAATTTCCGCTGAACCAAAACCCATCCACAGAGAGATAGATAGTAGCAGAAGTTAGAAGGGGTGCAGAGGATTGAACTGAATAACCTTTCAAGAGAAGATTGTGCAAACAAATTGATGCAAGCGTGATGTAGTACCGAAATCTATTCCATAAGAGCACAAACGGACAAAATCAAAGAATGTAAAGGAAGAACCCTTGGTAAAGGAGACAATGAAAAGCAAGTAAACCATCCCAAAACAGAAAAGGGAAAGGAAGAACCCTCAGTAAAAGAGATGGTAAGAAACCTTGGGCGGCTTTCTCGTTGGATGCTGGCCGCCAGAGTTTCAAAACCTTTCAACATAATTGTCAAGTTCAAGCGTGGCGCAAACTTCCTTGATGTAGCATCTAATTTGTAATCACTAATGGAAATCCTCTTTAACTGCAATGCTTGGGTGATATGCAAAATTCGACTAAATGTTTCTCATACAATCATCCAACAAACTAACACTAAGTAGAGAAAGACAACGAAAACAACATTATAAGCATCTTTGTTCACTCCACCATAAATATAACTGAAATCTCATTATGACTAACAGTAAGGATTCAAAGTACAGGGGAAACGAAAAACTTTCAATGAGAAACTTACAACGAAAAAGGAGGCCATATCAACCCAATGCTCATAGCTTGCAAATTGTGATAAATAAACCATGAATTTGTTTTGCACTTGTTGGAGGTAGAGGACACACTTACATGAAACACTTCATAAAAAATTGAATAGCAAGCTTCAAGAACCTTCATACAAAAACATAACCATTAAACATAGTGCAGCAGGCAGCCACACACCAGTCACATGTTTCCTCTCCTTCGGTCTATCAAGTTGAAGCTATGACCAATGAAAAAATTGTGTAATGAAGAAGTTATATCTTCTAATTATAATAAATAGAGTGCAGTATCCACTATTATCTTGTTTCTAATTGCAATTTGTGTTTTATTAAACATGACTACAATCCATCACATATCCATTTTAAAAAAACCTCAAACGACATTACCTCAAACCATAAGTTTATTAGCACAGGAAATTAATTGTCATCTCACGTTGCTGGTCTTTCTTATAGTAATATGAAAGGAGTATTAGACAGTCTGAGGTAGACATGCATAAGAATGCATTTATGCTCAATCATGATTTAAGAAACATAGTACCCTGACATAATTTAGATCCTACTGCTCAGCAAACCTATCTTTATCTTCATTCCTACAATTCTATATTTTCAACTTCTTCCTACAACTTGTGCATCTAACTACTAACTATAACAACACGTTTTTTACACAGGATATCCCATTCGCACTCTGTTCATTTTTCTCTTTCTATGATTCTTGATCTACCCGGAAAAAGAAAACATACCCAACTCCTATCCATGACTAAAAGAGGACCATGAACCAATATGAAAGAAAACATACAATAGTTATTCAACTATGGGATTAAGAAAAGTTTAATGAACTGCAGTTCTCTACACCTAGCTAGTTCAAATTCAGAGTTCTGACTAAAAGGTATTGAAAGATGGAGGAGTAATATGGAAAAATCTTGATTATCTATCGCTAAATAACTAAGCAGGTCACTCTCTAAAAGGTATTGAAAGATGGAGGAGTAATATGGAAAAATCTTGATTATCTATCGCTAAATAACTAAGCAGGTCACTCTCACATCTCTCATGTAGGTATTTTGGATCATGATACAAACAATGGGGTAACACATTCTGGATGTCACTCTTTCACCACGCAAAGTTCCTCTAATAAAAACATAGCTAATTTGAAAATAGAAAGGGGTTAAAGACACATTTGGTCACTGAGATTACAAAATCGGAACATGTTTAGTCACTAGAAAAAGTTAATATCAAATTTGGTCACTACAATTACTAAAATAGGTCATATTGAGTCACTCTCCGTTAGTCTCCGTCCAACTCCGTTAGTGAAGTCCGTTAAGTGCTGACGTGGCTAACGGATGCGCCTAGTCAGCATCGTTTTGACCCAAAAATCATCATACCCGACCCGCCACGTCAGTTTCACCCGCCATGTCATACACCAACCCAACCATTAACCCAACCCGACCCAAAACCAAACTCAACCCACCTAACAAAAAAAAAAGGAAAATCATCTGGTTAGTGGCCATTTTCAGACCTTCGACTTCCTGGTTCCGACTCGAGCACGAGCGGCGCCGCGAGGGGCAGCCGGTTCCCCGGCTGCTTCCGGAGCAACGAGTGGAGGTCGCCGTTGGAGCAGTAATCGATTATCAGGCAGGTGTAGTGCGAGACGTCGATTCGAGCGTAGAGCGTGGGCAAGAAAGGGTGGTCTAGCAAGGAGAGGATCCTGGCCTCCGTTTCCACATGGGAGAGCTTCTTCTTGCTGAGAGTATCTCGATCGACGACCTTGAGCGCGAATTGGGCGGAGGCGGCGTCGCTGGAATCCCTAATTTTGCAGAGGAAGACCCGCCCCAAATTCCCCGCGCCGAGGAGGCGGAGCAGCTTGAGGTGGCTGAGGTGGAGCCGGCCGTCGGGGGAGAGGTTCGTGGCGGTCCTAATAGCCGACCAGTGAGGGTCGTCGAGAACGGCCAAAGATCCGTGGCCGGTGAACGGGTCTTAATCTATCTAGCTAAAGGAAAAGGAAAAGTAAAAGTAAAGCTGTAAATTCGAAGAAAATGAAATTCCGTCGACGGGGAAAGAATGAAAAGAAATTTCACCTGCTGGTGGCGATGGAACAGCGCTGGCCGTAGGGGAACCTGCTCCTCCGGTCGTAACTGAAATTGAAAATTTACATTCGAATCAAAAGGTCGATCCAGAGAAATTCCAGCTCCGAAAACGAAAGCGAATCCGACAAATTCGCGATTCGAAAAAAGCGGATTACATACATAAAGCTTCAATTGAACCTTTACCTTTGCTGCAAGAGCTGGTATCGGCGCTGATGCCGCAGCGCGTGGTGAGACCTAAGGCCTGGGTGACATTGATCCCGAAGGAAGCAAGGAGCCCGGGAGTGTTGTAGAGGTTGCAGAGGCAAGGCAGCTCCGTCCTCACGGCTTCCTTGTTAGGTGGGTTGAGTTTGGTTTTGCAAGGTGGGTTGAGTTTGGTTTTGGGTCGGGTTGGGTTAATGGTTGGGTTGGTGTATGACATGGCGGGTGAAACTGACGTGGCGGGTCGGGTATGATGATTTTTGGGTCAAAATGATGCTGACTAGGCGCATCTGTTAGCCACGTCAGCACTTAACGGACTTCACTAACGGAGTTGGACGGAGACTAACGGAGAGTGACTCAATATGACCTATTTTAGTAATTGTAGTGACCAAATTTGATATTAACTTTTTCTAGTGACTAAACATGTCCCGATTTTGTAATCTCAGTGACCAAATGTGTCTTTAACCCAAATAGAAAGCAACCTTAAAATGAAGAATAGAAAAAGCAAGAGCTCACTTGTTATATTAATCCTGCAACTGATGGTGTAACCACTAACACAAACGGAAGACAAACCATCAATCACAACTTCAAGAAGTGCGCAAGCCTCAATCCTACTCCGTTTATCGACTGTAATATCGAGGAAGTAAATAAAATTGACGTAATCACAGTACCCAGGAAACCCAAACCTAAGACACGATTTTACAAAATGCAGCAAGGGGAAACAATTACCCACACATAATTAATTAGTGGAAACAACAATAGTCCCTGTTTTTGTGTCTCTCTATCCCCTTGCACTATAGGTCGGCGACCAACTAAGATCCAAACACAACATCAAATAGCCACCAGACCACTAAAAACTCGAGCAACGTAGATATGGAGAAAAGAGAGGAATCAAAAGTCCATGCAAGCAAAACGAAAAGTGATCCTACAAAGTGAAAGTCGTACCGTATTTTTGTGGCCATCCTCGAGATTTTAAAGTCCCGACACCTTCGATGCCATAGGCATACTTCTCCGCGTCAGAGCTGCTGTTGCCGGACCCCGAGTAGGGACAGTGGAAAGAATCAATGTACGGTGCTGCTAACGGGACTTAACATCTACGATTTTGGCTTACTCTTTTCTGCGACAGCTGAGAGAATCAACGGTTCTTGTAGCCGCTCTCCCTAGTGGCAATGGAGTATTATCACCAACGCTGCCTTTGATTTTTGTCGGGCGGCAGGAGTTGAAGGAGAGAGGAAAAACAGAAAAGATTGGATTGTAGATGAGAGTTGGAGGAAGCTGGGTTAGATAATTGGAAAGCAAAGAGATATGAGAAAAGACTGCTTGTACAGAGGGATGGAGGGAAGATTTTGTGAAAGAAAATCAATAGTGATGTAACAGGAGAGGATAGAGTATGAGAAAAGGATTTGTCAGGGAGAGCTAGTTGGCGACTGGTGTTAGGTATACTGGTAGCATGGCATAGTGATTCGACGGAGGTAAGGCGTCGCCAATTCAGAAGAGGGTAATAATTGTGAGGAGAGTTGGCTGTGAGAAAAATGAGACTCCCATTGCACTAAAAGACAGAAAGTGAAACAGTAGCAAAGCAGTTTGGCCAATAAAATGTACCCCGCTTTTATATTTTATTATAAAGAACTAGATCTTGTTCCGGTTTTATTAATATAGAACAACAATATTGCGGTATACTTTTCATTTTCATTAATACAAAACAACAATAGCAATATTTGATAAATGCACATTTTATTTGATATAGGAAAAAAGTCCAAACTATCTAACCATTGTAAAGTAAAAAAAAACTCATATAAATGTTAATTTTTGGTTAGTAGAGTTTATCTTATCCAAGTCATGAGCATTATCATATATTCACTCTTTTTCTCTATCATTGAAATTTCTATCTCCAACATCAACAGTCTCTTCCTTTTTTTCTTCGTTATTATCTCCATTACAAAATACACTAAATCCTAAGCACAAATTAAATATTTTCAATTGTCTGCATAACTCGAAACTGGAACCTGAACTTATAAATGGCAGCAATGAGTAAAATATTTAGTCGAAAACTATATTTTTAGTGGGTACAAAGTTCTTTTCTCAGATGAATTTGAAGTTAAAAAGAATGGAAAAATAACGATAGTGTTACATAGTGGATGTTGTCTTTGATGTTGTTATAAATTCTCACAAAATACACGTCATAGCATTTGTTAATTTTTTCATTAATAATTTTCAATTAATCTGATATGAAGAAGGAAATATAGTTAGTAGAAAATTTGTGAGAGATTGAAAAAATCCTTAGTTGCAATACTTGAGATTTGTGCTTAAATTAGGATGGCTAAAGCAAACAAAAGAAGCTTATGTACCAAAACCGCAGCCTCGTTCCTTATTTTGACAACTTTGCATAGATATAGGTTGCCCCAAATATTGGAGATACAGTCAGATAGTAAATATTAATGAAATTGAGTTTTCCAACCATTCCAACCATTTTTTTCAATTTATTTATCTTTCAAAGTTTTAGTGGACATTGATGCTCGGTTTTGATCTTTGACTCTTGCGAGGGAAGATGGTGCATCTTCATCGTTTGTTCCCAAATTATTATGAGATCATAATTTGTTTATGACACTCCAAATTTATAATACACAAAAAATACACTAATGCAAATAGCATGAAACTCGGTAAGCTTGATTTGACGATAGCAAGCTCTTGGATACTATCGCACTTGCCTTAAGGAGGTTATGAATTGAAATGTTAGCCACACTTCTTATTTTGACAACTCCACATTGGATGAACTATCCATTGACGTTAAGTATTAGAGAAAGCATAAGTATTTTGAATATCAATGACTGGTTAGATTGAAAATGGGTTCACCACCTTTTCATCCTTTATTTCCAACTTGTTTAAATTTGTTAATGTTTTAGTGGGATTAGTGGTCAGATTTGAACTTTAACTCTCGTAAGAGGAGTTGCGCATACCATCATTTTTATAAAAAAATTATTATAAAAAAATTATTTATATTGTAAATTTCATAAATTTATAATACATAAAAAAATTGATCAATTCGATTGACCTAAAGCTCGAGTTGAAGACAACAGGTTCTCGGATGATATACATCTCATCTGAAGCATCATAAAGTCATTTCTCGTTGAGACATGCAAAGAGGGGAACAATGCTTTCTCGAACAGGATAGCCTATGCTTTACATCCACATGTAATTATTGTAGTAATCGGAGGGATACTTTCTTAGTGAAGTTGTAGTGGATGGAAGTAGGAATTGGGCTAGGTACATGTAATTATAGTAGCAGGTCTCAAGCTTCTCTAGATGAATTTGTGCAATTAAATTAATACTTCTCTCTCTTACTTTCCCTTTTCCCTTCCTCTCTGTTCTTCGTTCTCTGCCACCTCGTCTTGCTCCACTAGTTCTCCCTGCCAAGTGCCAACCTAGCTCTTCAACTCTGCAATTTACCCACAATCGGTCCTTCCTCATCGGCCAGACGTGAAATTCCTGTCAGCTTCCTGAAAACTAGCGCACGCAGCGCCACCGCAGCAACTAGCGTCGCACTTAGAAGGAACAACTGGTGATATCGACGGAGAACGAAGTAGGTCCAAATAAGGTTTTCGATCTCCTTCAGAGTTCGTCCGCACTTCAATCGCCGACGATATCCATCAGTCCCTCTCTCCTCGACTTTACGGTAATCCTTTTGTCGGTGGCGTCGCTGGCTTATGCTCTAAGCTCAGCTCTGGTGGCCTGGTCGGCGTCTGGCTACGGCGGTCTTTTGATTACGGTGGCGTCGGTTACCAGATTTCTAGTTTCCACAATTACGTTACAGCTTTAATTATGTCCTCCGTAATCACCTCGTCGGCTTACGTTGGGTCTCATTTAAGTGGGTTTACTTATTTGTTTTTAAGGTCCTACTTCCCTAATTTAGCGGGATCATTAAGACGATTTTATTGTCATTTTAATTTCAATTCATTTAAAGGCAATTTGGGTCTTTTAATGTGGTTAGACTTTTTTACTTATTTATTTTTGGCTTAAAGGCCTGAAATTTTATTCCTAACGACGTGGGACTATCCTAGTTAGTACTATAGCATTTTAATTGCTTTGGTTTATCAAACCTGTTTTTCCCTAGGGGAATTTTATTACATTCTTTAATTTTAGTAATTTTTTATGTCTTAATTTATTCTAAAGATATTAAGATATGATCACATCATTAGTGTGGTATATTCGGTAACTCCGACTTTGTCTCAAAGGTAGACTATAATCTCGTAAGATAGAGATTTCGGTGGGAAAGTAGTTATTGGTTATTATTATTTTTGGACTTTCAGTTATAATTATTATCAGTGGTTATAGTATTACTGACTATTAATTATTAGTCCTCGTTATAGTTATTTGGATTTCTCTTTTATTTTCCAAAGCGCTATTATGGTTACCTTCTTTAATAAACTTGAACCAGTTTTAGCCACGCAATTGCATACTTTATGCTCATTTAATACAATAGTTATTGGGTTTAGTAACCACTTTTTCACAAGTCGGTTACAAGGCTTTATGGCCAAAAATGGCTAGCGCCGGAAAAGCCTTAATTGTGCTTTCAAATCGTCTCCTTAATGACGAGCTAGAGTGTTTTAAAACTCTAATAAAAAGATTCTTTCACCAGCATAATGGGGCGTATTCGAAGGGCTCCCGCAAATAAATATGCTAACAAGGCCTAATTAATG